AACACTACAAAAAATTCAATATGATAATTTACTGACAATCATTTTCATCATATCTATTAATCTGTCATGTTAGTGGCTGCAAAAAATATTCTTAGTACTGAAACAGAGTATCTAAATATTCAATTTTAATATAAACTATAGTACTTCAAATTTTAACTGCATATAAATAAGATTCTGAATTAAAAAAAAAGTCCTCTTCCCTGCCAAACTCCCTATTTAACTGTAAATGTTTCAGTTCCTCCTGAAATCACAGCCTTCAATGTGGTGATATATCAGATTTTAGGCATAAGTCAAGTGTGGGCAGTGTTCTCTGTAAAAAGGTAAATGAAGATACAAAGCCAGATATAAAACTTCTAACATGCTGCCATATATAAAACAATGCACACTTTTAACATAAGAGGCTGGGTGGATTCAAGGCAAAGTTAGGCTGCTCTCAACCCTGGAAGGGTAAAGACCAAAGGAAACATTGCTGAGAGATGGCAGATGGTACAAAGGGGAGAGAGAAAGTGGTCATCGAATTAAGTGGTGTCAGCACCTTTGGCCCCCCACCTGCCTCCAACACTTAATTTCCTCACATAGTCCTGTACATGAACATCTTGGATAATGAAGGATATTTATGTATGTAATAACTATAAGCGGCCCCTGACTTTTGAGACTCCTTAGTAAGCAAACAGATTCCACTCCTCCCTATAGCACCAAGAAATGTTCAGTCTCTGAACCTGGCATCTGTCTTGAGTGCCAGGGAGGGAAATGATGACCTATTGCGTTCCCTAACTAATACAATAGCTTCTAACCACTGATCTAGAATATTCACATCAGTTTTCTGTCAATGTCTCACTATGAGTGCTGTCAAAATTCTTAATTGAAATTCCTTATTTTAAGCAGTGGGTACAGCTACTATAAAAAATAAAAAGCCCTCTTTATTGATCTGATCCTCTAAAAGACCATGTCAGTTATAAGCCAGAGTTCGTCTGCGATTACTACCAATTAGAACTTGCACATCTAAAGCAGGGAGATTTTGGTGACAATGAATGGATACAGTAAATGTGTTTGGGAAATGTAAGACTAGTTGATAAATACCTGGCAATAAGTCTGCAGATTAACAGGAGACAGGCAGGACATAGATTATTCAAAAAGGTTCATTTGTAAAAATTGTTTTGACTTTGGAAGGTAACCAAAAAAGATAGGAAGCAAAAGTAAACATCAATTTACTATTCCCACCCTAAGTGGGAAAACTTTAGTCAAGTGCAAAATAACTTCTGGATAATAGTAAAGTCTCTGTTTTCTTCTTTAACAGGGAGATATGATTTTGGGGTCCTACTTAATGATTAGGTTATTGAGTTAACCTGTTATTAGGTCATAGTAACAGCTGCAAATTAAAAAGTTATTATAAAAACAAAGAACAAAATCTGACCCTAACCAGTCTGCCTCTAACTTGTGAGTCAGTTAAGTATAATTCAAGTTGGGGCTCTAAATGCTAATTAAAGCATCCTAAATACATATTGAGGGGTATACTACAAACACAGTTGTCTGAGAGAAGGCTCTGAGGGACTCTTCTACACCAGCATCCATATGAATGCTACCCTTTTTGTTTCAGAAACAGATGCAGACCTGAAGAATGAGGCTGGGAGTAACAAGGTGATTGAGGTTATTGTCAAAGGATTACAGGGCCAGATTTTTTTCCTTACAACTTAGTGGATTTTTTTTTTTTTTTTTTTTTTTTTTTTTTGGTTCAACCTAGTTGATTTTTAAAAGGAGTACCACAATATGTAAAACTAATTATCATAAAATAAGAATAAAAGTCATTATATATCTTTATTTTTCCTATTTGGAAACTTGGATAGTTTGAGACTGTAAAGTACATTTTTTTTTTCTTCACCGTTCCTGAAAGAGCTAGCAAAGAAGCCATTGTTGAGAGACCTGGTTACACTCATTCACATTACAAAGTACAGAGAGTCAACACAACTACCAAAGCCACTCAAATCAAACAAGAAGAAATGGCACTTCCTCATACTTCATGGACTTCACAGGAATACAAAGATTATTTTACTTTTCACACATTTACACATAACACAAGAAAAACCTTCAGTTAACTGAATAGTGTCTATAAATGTGGTAGGAGTTATGGCATAACAAAAGAGTCACCTGTTAAATACATAAATGTTTTGTACTCGAGGATATTTTTGCATAGTACACAAGATGATTGACATAGACTTGTCAACTCTTCCTCATACTGATTATACTGTAAGCAGTGTTTAGGGTGTGCACATTGTTGTGTTTTGGAGATGTACAGGTGGCAATTCTAACCTATCTTCACATTATCCCTAAAATACTAAGGTTTCATCATTGAACTGTGGTTAAATTTTTAAGTGTGATTGTCTTCCAATGACTGTCATTACCTTCTTGTGTAATTAATATTCCATGTAATTTAGAGCACATGTCTTGATTTTCTCAATGCTCATGAATACCTTATCTGTGGGAAACTTATTTCTAAGGAAAAGCAGTATATGGCCATGACTTGCTTAACACATGTAATCAATATGAAGAAAAACGGACCATCGCCATAAATCTGTAAGATTAAAACTTCAAAAAAAGGTACAATTTGAACAAGCACTTACACTTTTGTTTCAAAAAAGGGACCACAGTAAGTAATGCCACAATAAATGTATAGTAATGCCTTAGTATATAATAAAGGAGAGGTGGGCTTCATTCATGTCCTATACAACAAAAGCTTTAATTCCTCACTAATCGTCAGTGGAATTAGCTCACAGACAACTCAGAGGAAAGAACACTCTGGTCTGTGTTAAAATAAAATGAACGTTGAGATTTCTCTATGTTGCAGCAAATGAAGTGGAATTCTGAATCTTTCTTTGGAGTCAAGTTGATCTTTGCAAGGTAATCAATTTGCCATTAAGACATTCTAATCTAGTAGGATGTCAGATGATGGCAAAGGCATTTAAACTGAGGGTGTCATATAAACATAGGGACTGGAACATTGGAGAGATTGCCTTCTGTTCCAGCAGAAGGTAGTCAGGCTATCAGCAATGTTATTATTACTAGGAAAAGGCCACCAAGGATCTAGAGACCAAAAAGCTCTAGCAACACCTGATCATAAGTATACAAAGATCAAAAGCAGAAGGTAAAAAATAAACATTTATCAGATTTTTTCATTATATTACTAATTTTTATAATATTAAATATTTTTCATCCCTTTATTCAATGTACTGGTATTTATTTCTGATTTTGACTCTGTCTGCAAAAAGAGCTTTATGCAGTCAATACCTGAGTGTCTGTACATGGAGAAATCTGAAGTAACAAGTAAAATATCATGTCCCAGTGGACCAGTGCTGTGGCCATCAATGGCAAGTAACCAGCTTTTTGGAATCTTAAGAGGAGAGGCTCTTTGCCACATGCAGATATTTATAGAGATAATATATTAGAATAATTGAAATAGAAATAATGGTTGATGCACGACCAGATGTTGATGATCTATTTAAATGAGTAGTGAATATCTATTTCTACACTCTATAAATTCAGTGAAATTCCTAATAAAAGCTATAAATTGAAAGGCATGAAATAAAGTCAGGTACAGATTTTATTCCTGCTAAAGATGATTAAACAATTTTAAATTCTGAAGCTAAAGATTATTTAAGAATCCTGTACCTTTATGTTTGGTTTTTATTGCAACTAAGTATAGAATTTAAAAGAATTTAAGCATACTTGTACCTTTAAAAAAATCTTTATCATCTGTACAAGAATTTCTCAAAAGCCAATATTAGATATCAATAAAATACATTGACACTTCATAGTCTTACAAGTAGAATTTAGGCTGCTGCCTTAAAAATCCACTTTTTACATTGTTTTCATTTTATTATATTTTTTGATGCCACTGTAATGCCACTATCAGATGATATGTGCATATGACTTATCAGTATTTATATGTTAATGTGGTAAAATTTCATTAAATCCCAAAGTTATAAAGATAGTTTTATACCTCCTCTAAACCAGGCATCAGCAAACTATTACCCATGAGTCAAATCTGGCCCGCCACTAGTTTTACATGGCACAACAGCTAAAATATTTCTATTTTTCAATGGATTTTAAGAATGAGAATTTCGAAAATTTTCAAACTGTAGAGTCCATAAATAAAGTTGTATTGGCACTAAGCCTTATTCATTTGCTTATTCATTATCTATGAGTGCTTTCTGCTACAATGGCAGTTGAGTACTGTAGTAAAGACCTTTAGGGTATACAAAACCCCCAAATATTTACTATCAGGTCTTGACAGAAATAGTTTGCTAATCCCCACTCTATACCCATAGAAGGCATCTGGAATGCTGAATGGAGTGTTTATATTGAAATCAGTGTATGACTTAACTTGGTTTCATTTATAGACATCATTTACATTATTCCTTTTGAATATCATCATATACTTGGTAAACAAATAAAAATAAACTTAACATTAAAAACAACAACAACAACAACTTATTTCCTTGAAATGTTTAGGACCAGCAAAACAATGACATAGAAAAGAAAGAAATTCGTAAGAAAAAATAATGAATGAACAATTTAAATTACATTTTAAGTAATGATTTCAAGGTTCCTCAGAGAATTCCAGACAGTAAAGGACTTATCTGAAAATCCTTACAGCAAATTTCTAGTTTCCAAATTTCTGGGATATAGTACTTAACACAGTATTCTACAATTGTTATGGAAATAAGACAATGTGCAGAGTTAGTTATCAAAAACAAGGGTGGGGGCAAGATTTTAAAATAAGAAACCAGTCAAGAAGTAAAAATTAAAAGAATGGCATGGCTAACAATTTATGCATTTTTTTTCTTTTTCATTTATAGGGAGCTACATGGTCTGCTGGTGTAGAACTTGATAGAAATTTACGTTTCATTTAGTGGGCTGATTCCCATATCTGTGTCAGATAAAATCATAGCACTTATTATTGTTACCATGGATACCATGAAGATACTGCCATCCACTAAACAGTATTAGAGGAAGACAACATAATTTTCTGGAACTAGTCCTGTTTTGCCTTCGTAAGTTGCCTTCAACCATCCTGGTTCCACTGATGGGTATACTGGCAACAATGAAAAAAAATGTCATTCAATCAGCATTAGCTTCAAATAATTATATACACAAATGGGTAAAAATGCACATCAGATTGCATAAATATACTCAAGTTGTCAAAACAATGTCAAAGCACCTTTAAGGCTGGAAATGTCCTCTGCATTCATGTAACCAATCTCTCTTCCTTCCCAATCCCTCCCATCCTTTCATCTCTCCTATCTCCCCCCATTCCTTCTTCCTTCTCTCTCCCTCTCTTTCATATATAGGAGGAAACTGGGCTCCAGAGAAATATAGTGTATTAACTTGTACAGGTTATGAGAGGCAGGGGCTAGAGCAGATTCTGAGTCTCCTGGCTTCTACTTTAGCTTCTTATCCCATTACTACTCCTTCATCATCCCCATGATAATAAACTTAAGCAAAGGGAATGGGTATACTTACCATTAGAAAATATTGCCCCCTGTGGGAAAGAAAGTTCATGGCTGTGCTCTGCTTTACAAGAGTACATGGCTTTGGCTTGGCTGAAAGAGCAAAAAGTAATTTATAAAATACACAGCTCTCAACAAAAATACATTTATACTTCAAATCATTTGTAAAAAATAATATTAGTTTTTAGTTGTAATTGGAGTATAATATACATCAAATACACATGTAAGTATGCATAAGAGCATTTTTCACAAAGCAAAAACACTCACATCATACCAAAAACCCTTCTTGTGTTTCTAGGAAATGTCTCCAAGGGTAACCAACCTGGCTTCTAACAGCACAAGCTGGTTTTAAAGAACACTATTATTATATAATTGTTAGTATGCTGGCAAACAGACCATTTTTACACCTATATAGAGGTTCATAGGTACCCTATAGCTTTTTTCCTACTTTCTATCAGAGGTGAGACCCAAAAATTAAAAGGCCTACAGGATATGATAAATAAATTAAGTGTACATGAGATAGGAAAAAGAATAGAATAAATTGATGATAAATGGCAACCAACAATAGCCTCATTGTCAGGAAAACAATGAGGATAGATGGAGGCTTTGCAAACCAGAGCCTATACCCATCTCCTAAAGTGGGAAGCCAATATTCAGCTCCCAACATCTGCTGCCATATGAGAATTCAGACTCAATGTAGCCAGATACTCTAGTTTCTTAAGAGAAAACAGAATTTCAGAATTTTATATGTGATATATTTAAAAATATTTGAGCCAACACTAAAAAGCCATCATCTGAGGCTGCTTATCAAATCACTAGTCAAGTCACCTTCATTCGACAACATCCAATTACCTTCATATGATGTGCAAGTTATGCTGATTTCACCTACTTCTCACCATCTCTATGACAACCAGAGCCCAAGCCAAAATCATTTCTGGTGTGGCTCACAGAATGGCTTCCTACCTTTCTAAATCCTCTAGGCCTCTTGTTTTGTCTACTTAAAATCCATTCTATACAGAGCAGCCAGTTTGAAAAGGTTCTGATGATCATGTGACGACCACATTATTTCCCTCAAAACAACCCTTCAACTGGTTTCCAACTCTAGCTTCCATACTGTGCACAATCAGGTACCTGTTAGTATCTCCTGCTTCTTCTGTACCTACCTGCTCATCTACTATACTCCATTCACACTGGCCTGCTTTTACCTCCTCAAACATGCCAAAGTCATTCTCACCCCAGGGCTTTGCCCTGACATGTTTTCCCCTTGATCTAAACATGGTTGTCCATTTCTAGTTCATCTTAAATTTCCTACGTTTTGCTAAAAGTTAGGTCTTCCTGACCACACACTCTAAAACAGCTGCCCAGGCAACTATCATATTCTCCTGTTTTAAGTTTGCATGGCATTAGTATCTGGTATTCTGTTGTTACTGCTGATATTTCTATAACCTTCTTCAATTAGAATGCAACTCCCATGAATGAGGCCTGATGCTTAGTAACTCAATAAATATTTGCTGAATCAATGAATGGAAAAAAAAAGTTAAGAAGCTCTGGGCTCTGTTTCATACACAGTGAGTCCTTTTAAATATTGAAGGCACCCTGTCTTTCCTCCCTGAGGGCCCAGTACTTTATCTACAAAGAAGCATCAGCAGTGTTTGCTATCTACAGCTCTCTCAAAGAGCAGTATATATTATTATTTCACTTCCCTGTTGGAGCTAGATAATGGGTCTTATTCCCTACACTTCCAGAATGAGGCTAGGTCATTTAAACTGGGTTTCCAAAAAGTTATCTGAAAATTAGAAAGCTTATAGAGAATAAAGATGGTCCTACCCTCAGAATCTATTTCATGAGGTTTAAGTCTCAGGTTGTACTTTCAGAAAGTCTGCTAGGATAGCCTAGGAGAGCCTACAGCAGGCAGATTTAGGAATGACTACTAGCCCACACAGAACACTTCTCAGGGCTGCATCATGCAAGGAAGAACTGAGGAAGTACAGGGCTCTACACTAAAGAAGAATCATATGTACGTGTGTGTATGTACATGCAGGCACATGAATGTATGTGCTGGCTGACATGGGTGTGGGGGGGGGGGGAGAGGATACTACCAAGTTATGAAGACTTGTAAGAATCGGACCATGATAATCCTAAATAAAAAAAAAAAATACATTAGTTTTTCCTATAAATCTTCTAGTCAATTATAATCATTTGATCTAATTTCGTATGATTTGATCTAATATGATCTGATAGCTGACATAATTAAGAGTCCCAGAACCATTTCTCTAAAAATATGTGTTTTTCAAAAAAACCAAATTTTCTAACGGCAACAATTTTCTCTAATATTAAGTCCTACTGCTTTGAATCATTAATCTAAGAGATGCATAAGGAAATAATTTCCAGTTATAGAAATGATTAAGATATAATAATCCTGGGGTGCCTGTGTGGCTTAGCCGGTTAAGCCTCCAAGTCTTGATTTTGGCTCAGGTCATGATATCATGATTCATGAGTTCGATCTCTGCATCGAGTTCTGTGCTAACAGTGCAGAGCCTGCTTGAGATTCTCTCTCCCTATCTCTCTCTACCCCTCCCCTTACTCTCACTCTCTCAAAATAAATAAATAAACTTAAAAAAAAGATATAATAATCATTGCAATGATATAGTTTTTGAAATTATATACTGAATACAACCAAACTATTTTTGTAAATATTTCAGATATGAATGTTCTCTCTATAGTGTTTTATGGGATTGGGTAGCAAGGGGGAGGCATGTAGAATAATTATATCATGAAATAAAGATATTGTTGTATGTGTCAAAAATACACAGCACAAAATAATATCTGTCCTGACTTTTCAATCATCTGTGCATATGACTAGACAGGTATAATTTTCTTCTGCTGAGATCTGTAACTACAGGTGTTAACTCAGCAGAAAGCTTTGATGATTTAATGTAGATGTCTGTGACTGTGAAGTTTTCTCTTCAGGTGCTAATGCTTCCTCTTTTACTGCCTTGGTATATTGAAGAAGATGTGAAAATAATACTGTCACCTATTAGGTCTTTCTTAAGAAGATCCTAATATTCTTTGAAAAGGATTCTGAAAATCTTGCTTCTTATTGCATGGGAGAGTAAGGTAATGACACTCAGCATGCTGAAAGCTATTTCTTCCCTTATCATCCAGAGAATGATCTGTTCATGAGATTCATTCCTAATTCTATACACTATTACTAATTAGTAAACTTACAGAGCTTTGATAAGTGTGCAAAATTCACAATGCTTATCTTAATCATAAGCTATGATTGACCAAAATTGATACAATATTTTCTGGAGGGTCACTTAATGATACACACACACACACACACACACACACACACACACGTATATTTTTTGTATGAAGGAAGGAGGAATGAACCTAGATATAGTTAAAAAGATGCCAACGTAGTAGTAACATATAGAAAAGCTAAAAACAAAAAAATCAAAACCTAAGTCTTCATCAGAAGATTTAAAAACACCAACCCAAATAAAGCATCAGGCAGCTAATTTAAATAATAATGTAGAAGAACACATGGCATAAAACAATATTAGCCTGTAAGGCAATTATTTTATAAAAAAATATGTCCTTGCAAGGCCCCTAAATTGCCCATGACTATTTACAATAAATACTACATTTGCTTCTGGGCCACTGGTTGGAGATTTGTTAAAATTAGTCACATGTTCCTTTTTTACGCTTTTGTCAACAAATACTGGCTGTTTCTGGCTTAGATATCTGAGTGAATACTGAATGCCTCAATGCTAAAGAACTCCCATGGACGCTTGTAAAGCTGCTTATGTAAAAGGCACGTGCATTGCAACTCCATTGAAAATGAAGTGAAAAAGTGAGTAACAAAGTCTTTTTAAGTTAAAAATGTATTATTTTATTCATTTACCCAACAACTTTGTTGAGCATCTTTTCTCTGTTGGGTACTATGTTGGAGCAATACAGTGAGCACCACCTGCATAATTCCTTTTCTGTGTTTATCACAGAGGAGTGGTTCACAAAGTATAGTCAAGGGGAACCTGGATGGATGGGTAGGTAGGGCCCTGAGAGGACATTGCTCTGAGAGCAAATGAAGTATATACGAGAATCCATTTATATTCTAGTATGCCATGTTTTTTTTTTTTTTTTTTTTATAAAATTTTTTTTTTCAACGCTATTTATTTTGGGACAGAGAGACAGAGCATGACGGGAGGGGCAGAGAGAGAGGGAGACACAGAATCGAACAGGGGCTCAGGCTCCGAGCCATCACAGAGCCTGAGCAGGGCTCCGAACTCACGGAGATGTGACCCTGGCTGAAGTCGGACGCTTAACAGACTGCGCCACCCAGGCCTAGTATGCCATGTTTTTTTTTAAACATTTTTTTTTTCAACGTTTATTTATTTTTGGGACAGAGAGAGACAGATCATGAGCGGGGAGGAGAGCAGAGAGGGGAGACACAGAATGGGAAAATCAGGCTCCGAGCCATCAGCCCCAGAGGCCCGGATGCGGGCTCGAATCCCAGCATGTTAGCGATCGGGTGATCTGGCTGGTCGATTTTTAACTCCCATGCTTCACCCAGGCGCCCCTAGTATGCCATGTTTTAAAGAGGTCTACAAAAATGTTAAATAAAGTAGCTCTTTGTTTTAAAAAATATTTTCATAAAATTTATTTATATTCATATGTAATGGCCTTTTAAAAAATCTTTGTTATTGTATTAATGGTGCTTTGATGGGATTAAGGAAGAGAGGTGTCAGTTCCTGAGCTCTCAGTAGTCACCATCATTAAGGAATGGAAGCTGACTGCAGCACGTTCAGTATATGGCAACAACAGAGGAGGAGTGGGCTTCCATGCGGTCTGGGTTAGTGTTGGATGTGAAACAATTTCTGTTGTTTTCAAAACACATTAAAAATATGGCCTTTGGAAGAGGAAAGTGGTGGGGAGGTTAGACCCTATTGTGATCTAGGGGTAGGCACAAAAACTCTCTGCCTAGGTTTTATAGAAAAGGGTGACCTCCAAATGTTGTAGGACTTGTGATCATCAGGTGACTTAGGTGATAGGAGTTTGGATTTTGAAAGGAAACAGGCATTTTGCTT